CGATTTAGGTGTACCATTCTCAGTTATAAGGGATGTTAAAGCCAATAGCCTTGTAAAGTTACTCCTATTTGTTTGGCTCTGTGTTGTAACACCATGAAATCTGTCCTACAAAATTGTCAGTCTTTGATTTGCTTTTGAGAGGCAAGGTTTTAAAAACTGCAGTTTTACTTTACTGAAACTATATTAATTATTTGAGCAAAAATGCTGCCACAGGAATTTCAGAACAACTGCACTGATCCTATTACAGCAAGGGTGGGCAAAATACAGCCTGTGGGCCAGATCCAGCCCGTGGTGGGTCTTTGTCTGGCCTCCAGCAGGTTCCTCAGTCTTGCCTGGCCCAGGCACCATCCAGCCGTGGTATGTCCTGCCACCCCTGGGCACGCAACAGGGCTGGGGCAGCTCCATAGCTGGACTGCCTTTCTAGGCAGCCCAGGCAGCGGCAGCTCCTTCAGGCTGCCAACACTGGCCCAAGCCCCACAATACCAGAGGGGACTTGCACTGCATAACTGACCCTGTGCATCCTGTGCCAGCTCTGGTCTTGCCTGCCCAGGCTTGCAGCGGCAGCACGAGACAGAAGTTACTCAGCGCAGGGTAAAAGCAGTCCCTTGCCACTGTTGGTGCTTCCTGGCGTAGCTGCCTGGAGTCCACTCTGGGCTCCCTGCGTCTACACCATTGCACTGCCAGCCCAGAGGCAGTGGTGACGAGCAGATGCAGGGCAGCCCAGTCTGGCCTCTGGGCAGCTATGCCAGGAAGCACCAGCAGTGGTGAGAGGGAGGGGCCACTTTTAACCTACACTGAGCAGCAGCTTTTGTCTCGTGCTGCCACTGCTGAGCCTAGGTGGATGAGCCCAGAGGAGGTGTGGGGTGCACAGGGTTGTGGCTGTGCAACATGGGTCCCCGCTGGTACCATGGGGCTAGGGCAGCGATGGTGGCAGCTGGAAGGCACTGCCACTTGGGCTCCCTAGAAAGATGATCCAGCTGCAGAGCTGTCCTAGCCCTGCTGCATGCCCAGGGGCAGCAGGATGTGCCAGGGGCAGTGTGAAGTAGGCCGGGTCCAGGCTGCGCCCAGGTTCTGGCTGATCTGTTCTGACAGGTGATTCTGGAGCTGGCGCAGGGTTCAGGGCTGTTGTGGGCCGAAGGCAGGAGCCTGGGGGCACGCATGCACACTGTACCATACCCACAAACCCCTGCAAACTCCACAACCACACCCTCCCCCACACACAATCACACACACCACACCACACCCTCCCACACCCACCCGTACGCCTCAGGGGGGGGGGGAGCCCAGTGCACTTCTACACTCACACTCAACACCCCACCACATACCCCATACCACCCTGCACAAACACACCCCAACCACCTATACCCACCCCCCCACATTTCCATGCCCCATGTACACACACCTACAGACCCCCACAAACCTCATACCCACCCTTACCCCCCACAATATATGAGAGTAAGACTTCATTTTGAGCTATTATGCAATCACTTCTATATACACAAGAAAACATACACGAGTCAGGACAAAAATCTTAAAAAAAAATAAAAAAATTATGCTATTGTCCATAGGTGATGCGTAGGGGGGGTATGTGGGGGTGGGGTGCTAAAAGAAGTGCCGGCAGCATTTCCGGGTTTGCCACCGGCACTTCTGGGGTCAGCAATTGCCTGCTGGGGGACCCCCCCCAGTCAGCGATCTGCCGTTGGTTCCCCCCCAGACTCAGGAGGCACTGGTTGCCCATGCTATTGTCAATGTTTGATTTTTAGTAGATGTATGAAACAATGAAATCACTTGACCTGAGATGACAAGGTTCCAGGGTGAGATCATGCGATAAGGGCAGATGAAGCCTGCTGTGGAGGCAACCATCTTGGGGAAAGGGAGAGCCATGAGAGATGCCCAGAGGCTGAGGGAGAGCTGGGGCCTGGCGTCCTGTCCTCACAGCTGCCAGAGCCTAGGAAAGCGCAGGCTGTGCTGCGGGCTGGGGGGTTGGGAAGCCCAGCGCAGCACCTTGCTTGCTCCCTTTCCCCTGGGAGCCCTGCCTGGACGAGCACCCG